CAAAAAACCAGGGAGTTCCATCGAACTGGACGAGTAGTACAAAATTAATCGGAATGACCAAGCAGGTCAAAAATTGGTTCATGTTCTTCAGCCAAATATTTCTCTTCCTGACTGATGAACACAGATTGATTGACAGATAATAAGCAATATCTATAATTCTGTTCCAGCCAAAATATTGCTAGATCAATAAACAAGTATACTTACAGGGAATGAAAACTACAGAGTTTCCTTAACTTTGTGGTTCACACACAAGGTATCTCACATAATTCTTATAATTTCAAGACCTCCAATTAAAAAAAGTGCCATATACAATCTTCAAAACTTAACGAAAATAGGAAGAATAAATGATGAAAATAGGAAGAATAAATGATTACCTGGTTTAGGAAATAAAGGTCCAGAGACTCCAGACATGATGACACTAGGGTGGAAATGAATTGGATGATGAGACAAGAGGGCAGAAGAATCAAGCACTCATATCACGATGTATGAACCAAAGTCTTAGCCAAATGCCTGCATATTCCAACCATTATTATTACAAGAAAATCAATAACAAACCAAAAAAAAACACAAAATGCTTCAATTATGTCACCATCCAAAGCATCGCATCTTGTGGCATAACATCAACATTCTTTATATCACAAAATCACAATAAAAACCCCTCAAAAATGGCTCATTTACAAATTAACTCAAAATAGCTATAAGATTTGTCAAGTACGTTGCATTCAATCATCTATTAATTCACAGCACTCCAACAGCACCTGAGATTAGGTAGTCGTGATATGAACAATGGCTTTTAACAATGAAATTGATATGATAACACAACAAAATTGATAAATTTCGTGGGTTGTGTGTTAGAGAGAGAGAGAGAGAGAGAGAGGTGAGAGAAATTACCTCTGGAAAAAATGGTGGGGAGAGAGAGAGAGGGGAAGTTTAAGTGACCGAATAATCCTCTGGAGATGGTGACCTGGGAAGAAGGAGAAGAGGACAGCTAGAGAGAGAATAAAAAACAAAAACAAAAAAAGACGTGTAGAGAGAGAGAGAGAGAGAGGGATAGGATTGTTTCTAATGGTTTGTTAGGATTTGTTGACAGAGTCTCGTTTCCATTGCCGATTTTGAGCTCTCTGTTTCTAAATTTAGAGAGAGAGAGAGAGAGAGATGAGGGTGGGAGAAATGGAAGGCACTCCGTTGGAATCTCAAATCAAATAGATGTTTCCCACTACCAACCTAACTCCAACTAACGTCTCTCCCTCCTTTCCCGGCAAAATGATCCAGTGCGACGCGTCTCGTTTTACTCGGAGTACCCTCGCTTACTGTGTTATTGGGCCTTAGGTCCAATACTATACCGGCTCATTCTGCCAACTTCTCTCCTTTTTTTTTTTTTTTTTTGGGACAATAAAAAATAACACAAGTTACCACTGAAAATATCATAAATAGTTTGCATAGGCTTCTCTCAGTGGAGTTTATGCTAAATTTAGATACTGATACTATATCAAGGTCCGTTTGGGAGCCAATTTATTGATTAAAATCGTAAAAAAAAAAAATTATAAAAAAGTCAAAATGTCGCATTATACACATTATTTAATTACTTTCTTTTTTTACAACTATCTATTCAATTAAAACAATAGTCAAACTATTAAAAAAGACACTAAATAAGTTAAGTTGTCAAACAGATACTAAAATGTACAAGAAGAATGAGGAAGGTTCAGCTAATTGGGTTGGAAAGTAGTTTGAGTTGAGCAAAGTAATATATTGTTTAAATTTAATTTAAATTTCGACGAGTTTTAATTGGATTGATCAACATCAAGAAGTACTGTGATTTTTTATATAGTTTGTAGTCCACTGAGTTAAGTTCAGATTAAGTTTAAGAAATTAACAAGTTTTAAAATGTGTTCAAATTTAATTTGTTTAATGAGTAAACAAAAAAATAAATAAATAAATTAATAAGGTACCTTACCTAATTGTCATGTCAGAGACCCAATAATTTAACCATGGTTAATGGAGTTAGTAGCAATTTTTGGTGAAGACAGGTACTCCAAAGGGGGTGATGCTATGGTACATCTAGGTGTACCATACATTTAGTTATGAACTTATATGATTTTATATCATAACCTATACCATATTAGTCATAACTATTACCATATTAACTCATAACTTAGTTATATTCAATTATTTCCATTGATTTTCTATGTACCATACATTTTTTAAATAAAATATTGGTGAAGACAGGTACTCCAAAGGGTATCGGAACCCATGCTATAAGGTTTCAAAAGCCCATATTTACTGAATAAATCCTTCAGCTTTAAACCTAGCCTATGCAGTGTAGAGTTTGATACCAAACTCTGAAGTCTCGCTTGACAAGTTAATAATTTAGTTAAAAAGTTAAAAAATTATTAAAAAAATTAAAAAGTCAAAAAATCTATAATTTATACTAAAGAGTCAAAGATTTCATTTTCTTTCTATTTTTTGTACATCTTTTCGTAAAAAGTCAGAAAGTCACCCCAAACATACTAGTTTTTTTTATCTCATATTTTAACTAAAAAATTAAAAAGTTACTAAAATAACCTATTCCCAAATGAGACCGCATACAAAATATAATCACATATCTCATAACCAACACCACTTTGATCATAACAAATATCACATATCTCATAACTATTGATCACATATCTTATAACCACATCTCATAACCAATCCCTTTGAGTCATAACCAACATCACATATCTCATAACCACTAGTCACATATCTCATAACCAACACCTTTTTGTCATAACTAATATCACATATCTCATAACCACTAATCACACATCTCATAACTACTACCCGCATACATCATAACCACATCTCATAACCAATCCCTTTGAGTCATAACCAACATCACATATCTCATAACCACCAGTCACATATCTCATAACCAACACCTTTTTGTCATAACCAATATCACATATCTCATAACCACTAATCACACATCTCATAACTACTACCCACATACATCATAACCACATCTCATAACCAATCCCTTTGAATCATAACCAACATCACATATCTCATAACCACTAATTACATATCTCGTAACCAACACCTTTTTGTCATAACCAATATCACATATCTCATAACCACTAATCACACATCTCATAACTACTACCCACATACATCATAACCACATCTCATAACCAATCCCTTTGAGTCATAACCAACATCACATATCTCACAACCACTAGTCACATATCTCATAACCAACACCTTTTTGTCATAACTAATATCACATATCTCATAACCACTAATCACAAATCTCATAACTACTACCCACATACATCATAACCACATCTCATAACCAATCCCTTTGAGTCATAACCAACATCACATATCTCATAACCACTAGTTTATGAGGTCTGTGATCATGTGTTTTGATGCAAATGCAGGTTGGGATTATACCTTGGTTGATATTATCTAACAGGGTTAGCAAAATTATTGGTCAAAAAGTCTTCCATTAGAAGGATTTGCTACTTGAAGATACACAAGTTGAAGAAACTTTTTTTTGTCTTTTTTTTTTCTTCTTCCTGTATTTACCAAAAAGGATTTCATGTGTAAGTTTTGGAGAGAAATTAAACTATTTGTCTAGAATTGTTCAAAATAGAAATTATAGTAGTTATGATATATGTGATGTTAGTTATGAGCCAAAGAGTGTTGGTTATGAGATATGTGGGTAATGGTTATGAGATATATGATTGTTGATTATGAGATTTGTGATTTTGGTTATGAGCAAAGTGATGTAGTTATGAGTCAAAAGGGTGTTTGGTTATGAGATATGTGGTTATTAGTTATAAGATATGTGATATTGGTTATGATCAAAGTGATGTGGTTATGAGTGAAAGGGTGTTGATTATGAGATATGTAATGTTGGTTATGAGTCAAAGGGGGATTGGTTATAAGATGTGGTTATGAGTTATATGGGTAGTAGTTATGAGATATGTGATTAATGTTATGAGATATGTGATATTGGTTATGATCAAAGTGATGTGGTTATGAGCAAAAGGGTGTTGATTATGAGATATGTAATGTTGGTTATGAGTCAAAGGGGGGATTGGTTATAAGATGTGGTTATGAGTTATATGGGTAGTAGTTATGAGATATGTGATTAATGTTATGAGATATGTGATATTGGTTATGATCAAAGTGGTGTGATTATGAGCTAAAGGATATTGGTTATGAGATGTAGTTATGAGATATGTGATTGTAGTTATGAAATATATGATATTGGTTATCAACAAAATGGTGCTGGTTATGAGATATGGTTATGAGATAAGTGATGAGAGCTTATAACTAAGTTATGATTAATTTGATTTTAGTTATGAACAAATATGATTTTGGCTCATAACTATAAAAAGTGACCTGCTTACCAGGTCACTTTTAATGATGTGGCTCAATCTGAACCATTGATTTTCTATGTACCATACATTTTTTAAATAAAATATACTATAGACTTTCCCCTCCAAAGGGTATCGGAACCCATGCTATAAGGTTTCAAAAGTCCATATTTACTGAATAAATCCTTCAGCTTTAAACCTAGCCTATGCAGTGTAGAGTTTGATACCAAACTCTGAAGTCTCGTTTGACAAGTTAACAATTTAGTTAAAAAGTTAAAAAATTATTAAAAAAATTAAAAAGTCAAAAAGTCTATAATTTATATTAAAGAGTCAAAGATTTTATTTTCTTTCTATTTTTTGTACATCTTTTCGTAAAAAGTCAGAAAGTCACCCCAAACATACTAATTTTTTTTATCTCATATTTTAACTAAAAACTTAAAAAGTTACTAAAATAACCTATTCCCAAATGAGACCGCATACAAAATATAAGACTTTTCCTAATCCGTATAAATATATATATATATATTTAACATTATGTCTCCCAAGATTAAACTGTGCACTCAAGATTGTGTGTCATATAGTGCAGTCTGTTGACCACAGTGGTTTCTATTTGATAGCCAAAGGAGTCATTTGTCAAATATCAAATTTGTGCTTACATAAAGCTTTTGCGTTCTCTGAATAAAGCCGCCAAATCTAACACTTCTTACAAAGGGAAAAAATATATATTACAGAGCTAGCCAATACTTCAAATGTATCAACTATAAAAATGCAATCAATTCAAAAAATATATAGTACAAAACAATTGACAACAATTACATAACAGAAATTATGCTTCTTGTAGTTTTTAAGTCTACCTCTGTTGCTCTTCCTTCTTCCAAACACCCCCTTTAAACCCGGCATCTTCAATTGGGAATCCCTCCAGCTCTGGACACCAGCAAACATTCAATGTCCTCAAAGATGGCATCACTTGCTGCACCACCGACCATTCCTCGCTCAAGTCCGACAAAGCTTCCAACTTCAAACCCTCAATTTTCCAAACAACATTTCCATTTCCCCGGAATCCCTCACTCATCTTTGTAAGATTGCCAGAACAAATCGATAGAAATCGTAGCATAGGAAGTGAGTGAGGATTCAGCCAATCCGGGCTTATCTTTCCCGGATAGAATTTGAGACCCAACTCGTGCAGTTGTCGAGGAGGGGTCAATTTATCAAGTTTGACTGCAAGATCCTCATCGTGACTATCAAAGCAATTTATCGACAGGAATTGAAGTTCCTGGAGGTTTACCAATGAATCGACCTCGTCATCTCCAATCTCATCACCCTGACTTAGGTGTAAACCGAGTGTTCTAAGATGAGTCAAGTTTTTAAGCTCAGCAATACGACAACCTTGTTCTTGGCTCGACTTGGCAGGCTTAAATCCCAACAATACTTGAAGATTCAAAAGCCTTCCTAAGCCTTTGGGGAAATATCCAAGTGAACCACAATGACTCGCATCCAATACCGAGAGCTTTGCAAAAGTAGTAATATAAGAGGGAATGAGTTTCAAATTCTGGCAATAACTTATGTCTAAAATTTGAAGCTTATGAACCTTCTTTAGTGAAGGCGGCACTTGGATCAATGGATGCGTGTTGCTTAAGCTGAGACAAGCTAAGTTGGGGAGAGATCCAATCTCATCTAACAAACTCGAAAGAGGGATTTCAAAGATTGATTTAGAAAGATCCAATACCTGTAAGCGTGGACATCTGCAAAACTTGTTTGCGATATTTGAAGCAATCTTGTTCACTTCACCACTTTTGGTAGTAGTCAACAATGCTCGCAGCTTTTGATTGGCCATTATTTGCTTCCGGTTCATATCACCTTTAATACCCAAATGGCGACAGTTCAATTCATTTGGTTTAAAAAATGCATAATCTTCTGCCATCTTGATCACCAAATCACGAACCATATCGTGAATTTTGCAAGTGTAGATTGTTCCACTGTAAGCCTTATCAACCACTTCTACCAAACACCTGTTTGTTAATTCTGAGAAACAATGTCCCCCAGCTTCGGCTGATAATCTACCACTTCTCAACGGGACAAAACCCTCTCCTACCCACCAATGGACCAATTGCTCTTTTTCAATTACACAATCCTCCGGATAGAGTGAGAAACACAAAAAACACGACTTCAAGTAAGCTGGGAGCTCGTCATAGCTCAATTGTAACGAAGCCATCACGGTGTCATCATTTTCTGCCAATTCATCTCGAAAATGATTTGCAATTCTTCTCCATTCATGATAGTAAGGCTCTTTCGATAACATCATTCCTCCGACTGCCTTGATAGCTAGTGGAAGCCCCTTGCACTTTTCAACAATCTCTTTACCAACAGTCTCTAGCTCGGAGTGAATACACTCTCCTTGAGTAGCTGCAAATGCTATCATACGAAACAGTAACCAACTATTCTCTTCACTGAGGAATTTGGGCCAATGAGTTCTTGCTTCCGAGACTCCCATCTTCCGAGCAACTTCCTCAATTCTTGTCGTGACAATGACACTGCTTCCATTCCCTTTAGGCAATCCTTGGTAGATTTGGAGCCACCATTTATTATCTTTGCTCCACACATCATCCATCACAATTAAATACCTCTTGCCTAATAGGTACTGGTTTATTTTCCTCAACAACTCACTTTTATCGTCTCCCACACTTGCATCTCCCAAGCTCCTTAATATGGTTCTCATGATCTGTTCTTCGGTGAATGTCTGAGAAACGGACACCCATATTCTCCTCTCAAAGCGATCCTCAATTCTTCTATCATTGAAGATTTTCTGGGCAATCGTGGTCTTGCCCACTCCACCCATACCAACAACTCCAATAGCTAGAATGTCATCGTTTGCTTTGAATAGCCAATCTTTGATCTTCTCTGTATCACCTTCTAAACCAACTACCTTGCTATGGTCATACAAGGGAGTGCTCCAACTGGGCTTAAGATGTCTGTCCTCATCTGTGGGACCCGTTTGGTTAAGTAGTGACACTCCAAGGTACGTTGACATATCCTGTTTGATACCAGTGATATTCTCATTAATTTCTCTGAGGCGCTTCCCTGCTTGATAATGGACTGGAAGCTTTGAAGGGTGGAAACACATTGTACAGCGTGCAGAGACAGTATCATTTTCATCCTCTGATTGAACTTGGCAATCGGCCAATATATCTCCAGCTTCATAAATTAAGTCTCGCAAAGTAACCATGATAGCGCGAAGTGACTCATTTTTTCTCTTGAGCCTCTCCGCATCTTGGAGGAAGCTTTGCATCAATCGCAGCTCACGCTGTAATTTTTTCAACTGGTCCCTAATTTCGATCAGGAAACGACTCTCCTCTTCAAGGGCATTAAGAAGTCTATCCAAGAATACACTCACTATTGCATCCACCATATTTTTGTTCTGCAAGTTTATTTTTAGAGGAGAAGGAAATCATGTCGTGAAAATATAAAATCAATCAAAATACGAAGGAAAATAATAAACAAAAAGTGGGTTATTCATCATATGCATGCGTGTGAAAATGTTATAATGTAACATGAGATTAAGAGGTTGAAAAGTTAAAAATTAGGTAAGAAATATGATAATATGTATATTCAGATCAGAACTGAGAGAAGGATAGGATAAAAGGATAAAAAGAAGAATATAGAAGGCTATTAATGTCATTATACATTTGTCAATAACCGAGTTAGCGATATAATTTAGTCCAATACACATGAGAGAGGTTGGCTTTTTTTAAATGACTGGGTAGTAAAGTGTTACGAAACCAAATCAAAGAGGGTAACCTTATCTTATTCCATATTATATAAAGCGTACACCCCATTTGGCGTGAATGCTGTCATGCTTTTTCTTTATCCAGAAATGCCCTCTACTTCCAACAACTGTCATATTCTATACCCGTTAAACTGTTTTTCTCATTCCCTCAAACCGACCAAATTTTCCGTAAAAAATTTAAATGTATTATATATATAAACACTGCAATTTTAAAGTTGAAACTTAAATTGAACTCAAAAGCTGATATCAAGGATAAATATGAAAAGAAATAAAAGTCTATTAAACTTGGTGTAGTTTACTATATTTCATTGTTCTTACGTGATGTGATGTGCTGATATACAAGAATGCCTAAGCTTTTACAGGAATTCGATATTCGTGGTTCTTGAATACTAACCACCATGAAATCAAGATCAATTATCAAACCCAAAAAGCATTAAAAAAAAAAAAAAAACACTCACAACTGTTCAATCTGGAAGACAAGACGAACACAAGAGGGCCGATTGAGAGTCTCCTGAAAATCTGAAGCTCCGAAGACTTTGATCTCTACAATCACGCGAGGCAAGAGAATAGAAGAGAAGAAGGGTACAAGAAATGGTAGAGAGTGAATTTCAAAGTTGATCTTCCTCTATAAATTTGGGGGAAACTTCCTCTCTCTTCTTGACTTGGTAGACTCTTTTTTTTTAGTTCATATATGTGCCCTGATTATTTAACAAAATATCAAAAAAATAAAAAATAATTAATAGAGTGTGAGTAACAACAATTTTATTTTTGTACAGTTCTCGCTTGTATTGAACACATATTGCTTCATTAATTTGAAATTATTTTTTTCCTTTTTTATATGCCTAAGATTTTCCCATTTTTCATAGCTTTTCTTTTTTTGTTTTTTTTACATATCTAAAAAAATTCATTTTCATTTTTTTTTCTCAATAATTTCTAATATTGCCCCTTTTAAATATTTAATTTCCTAAAATTTTCCCAAAAAATATCACATTTCTTCTTCTTTTTTTTTTCTCTCATATTTTTCGTCTCTTTCTCTTTCTATGTTATTTTATTACTTCTAATTCAATAACAAAAATACAAATGAATTAAAAAGCAAAATCATTAAGATTTCAATAAGTATTTAATTATGAAATTTCATCAAAAAATTAAAAATATCGTGTATTTATCTCATGAAAAATTTTACTAGCAAAAATAAATTTCCAAGTGTGTCAATTTAACTCTGTTTGTTTCCAGTTAAAAGAGTCAAGAATGAAAAAATAGGCCTTGTTTGGTTTGTGTTTCTCAAAAAATTTTAAGAAAAATTCTCTACAAATAAGTTTTCAGAAGTAATCAAACCAAACAAATTTTCTCAAAATTTTTTTCCAAAACTTGTTTGGTTTACAAATTTTCCAAACAAATCTCTCTCTCATACACATCAAATCAATCATTTTTTTCAAAACTCTCTCTCAAAATAATTTTTCAAAACATCTTTTGAAAAAAAAACAAACCAAACAAATTTTCGTACTTTTTATCTCAAAACATGTTTCTCAAATACAAACCAAACAAGGCCGTAATGTTTTAATATTTACCAAACTCATCATCTTTTTTAGTAATAATTTTATTCTAAATTTTCTATAAAAAAGAAAAGAAAAGAACCTACTAAAAAATTATTGCCAAACCATCAAGGCTTTACCAAAAAATAGAAAATAGAAAATTAAAATATCTGAAGTGAGACTTCATAACAAAGTAAAAATTTAATGAAAGACAATTGCAAGGATAATAGAAATTTAGAATGAACTAATTGAAAATTTACTTTATAAATTGTGAGATCATAAGATATCCTCTCAGATGGATTGTTGAGATCCAACGGAGAGATGAACTTGGTTGTGGTATACCTGCAAAAGATGAGCATGATCGGCGCCACCCAACCGAGGTTGCCGGCCGAAGGCACTCCGATGGTGAAGTCAGTCACTTGTTAAGCAGAGTGAAAGTGTAGAAAGTGTAGAAAGTGTAGAGTACTTGGTGTGTAGTGTAGAGAGAGAGAGAACATACCTCAACTTGGGATCCCCCCCTCCCCCTTTATATAGGGGGTGTGATATTTGTTTGGGCTGGATCCATTGTGACTCTGTTTGGGTTAGGCCCAATAAGTTAGTACCTATATTTTTCTGGCTCCCACAATTGCCCCAAAACTTTCATTGTCTTCGGTAGAAGGAATAAGAGTTTTTATAGCCGAATTATACTGTTCAAATAGATGTTAGGTCATTTGACAAAGAATACATTTGATAAATGAATAAAATGTATGAATAAATGACTTCATGTATGCTTGAATGTATGTATAAATGTATATAAGTCGATCATAGGATGAGGGGGGGTGAGCTAAAACCCAGAAAGGAATACAAATAAATCATAACGATAGGCCGCAGTATTCTAACCCCTGGCATGGGTGTCGGTCGCGGTATTCTAACCCCCGACATGGGTGTTGGCCGCTGTATTCTAACCCCCGGGCATGGGTGTAGGCCACAGTATTCTAACCCCTGGGCATGGGTGTAGCTTTTGCTAATGGCGCTCTGTGCCGAGTGCGAAGATTGCGCTATACTCGAAGGCTTTTGCTGATTTTAAGTGGCAACCAAGTGCCAATATGGCAAGGATTTTGAATAATGTATCTTGTAACGAATAAGGTGGACGTGTTAATCACCAATAATATTGCTCTGCTTGTATGGAATTGCCAAGTAGATATTGGGCCAACTATTTAATTGCCGAGTTGCTCAGTTTGCGTTTAGTCCAAGGTAGACTTGCCCCATTGCTTTCGAATGACAGGTATTAGTCAGAAGGAATGTAGATTCCCATTGCCTTATGTTGTAGGGAAGATTCGGCTTTAGTAAAATGACGGTGTGCAAAAATATGCAAACTGCCGACTGCCAAGTGTGTAATGTATTGCCCCAAAACGGGCTCTTACTTCAAGCTGTGTGAAAAGGAGCGGGAGTTTGTAACTCAAGTAAACGTCGTTGTAATGTTTGTACCAAGTTGGTAGAGTATGCATGCATATCAAAGGTGCCGAAATGATGATCGGTTGATGTGCCCCCATTGGAAAGCGAAAAATTGACTGATGTCCCAATGGGCAATTGTTTTGCCAAATAATGTTGTTAGGCGAATAAAGTTGCCAAATACTGTGGCCAATGTTGCTACATAAAGTTTGACAATGCATAAAGTTGACCAATAATGTTGTTTAGCCGAAGAAGGTTGATGCACGGCCGAATAATGATCATACATGATGTTGAATTAATAATGGTACCGAATAATATTGCAGAGTAAAATTGATGCACTACCGAGTAACTAGTGTCAAAACATCGGTGTCCGTTTACACTTGGGTCGGTGATTGTGCCAATCGTTTGGTCGGCGATTTTTTCTTAGCTTCACGGTGTGTCGACATCCCTTCGGAGTTGGATTTGCTAAGAACTTTGTTGGCAATGGTTGTCAATTTATTGAAGTTGAGTTTCTTGTCCAACGTATATTGGCCCCATTGCTTTTGAATAAGATTTGTTATTCGGAAGGAATAAAATGGACGTGGACCAAAATTGTCGAGTAGGCCGATAAAAATTTGAAATGGATTTCCGTGCCCCCGTGTTTTCGAGAAATTATGAGATTTTTGCTGAAGAGGTAGACAAATTAACAATTGTTGTTGTTCTGAGAATGTCCAATGCTGTGTAGTGAAAGTTGTTATTCGGAAGGAATTCATCCTTTGGTGACAAATGAGTTGAGCTGGGAGATAGGCAGAGAGTCGCCAAATAAGATGTAGTTGGTGAATTCGGCATTGAACAAACTCCAGGTATGACGGCAAAAATGTTGTTTTTAGCTGCGATATGTGGCATTGCATATAACATCTATGAATGTTTGGTATGGAATTTATAGCGGTCCCGGTTGTCCCTTTACTGTTCTGTTGCGTTCCGGACTTGGGTTCCGTGATGTTGGTGGTGGAATACCTTGTTGTCATCCTTTAATTTCGCTTGATTGAGTTTTAGGATGTATTGGGCAGAGTTGTTACAGGTTGGTTGGGCTTTGGTTTCAATTCTTTATTGCCCAGTTTTTAGGAGGTCCGCTCGAGCGAGTCTTCTTGCGCTCGAGCGGAGATTGCACGCTCCCAGTATTTTGGTGCTCTACAGAACTTCTGCAGGCATGTTTTTCACGCTCGAGCGAGTTTCTTTGCGCTTGAGCGGTGGCGCTCGAGCGGGTAGTACTTTTTGGTGTAAGTTCTGGGAGGGGGAAATCTATGCTCGAGCGGACTGGTTTTCGCGCTCAAGCGGATTTACTTTATTCTTGTGTCTTGGCGCTCGAGCGGACCTAGTTTTTGTTCTTGACGCTCGAGCATTGTGTTCTCTGCTCGAGCGGGAATGTCGTATATTAGTTGGCAGCTGGGCATTTTAAAATCACCTTTTACATTCTCTCTCTCTCTCTCTCTCTCTCTCTCTCTTTTACTTTCTAAAAAGACATTTTGAGAGTTCCTCTCTCTAGAAACTCTCTTCTCTCTAGGGTTTGATCTAGTTAGAGTGTTTCCTTTTCCTTCGACCTTTGTAAGAGTTGGGTTGATCGTCGAGGGCTACACTTTGATCCGAAAATATTGAGTTTTGGAGCACGTTGAGCTTCTTCACCTTTTTTCCTTGAGCTCCGAATTTAAGGTAGGGATTCCTACTCACTCTTATGGTCTTTGACATAGATTTTTTGTTGTTTTGATAAAGTGTTGAAGTTGGGTAATTTTGGGACTTAGGGTTTCGAAATGTTAGAAGAGGGTTTTGTTATTTTGATTCCAAGAATATGTATTATGAGTTTCAAAATAATGATATTGTTGTTGGTTGTTGATATATAGACCATTGGGAAATGGGGTAGAAAATCCTAATTGGTTGTATAAATTAATTGGTATGGTTAATTTGAGAAAATAGTGGTTATATGGAATTGGGTTGGAGATAATGAAATTGACTCATTATATAGTAGAATAATGGAGCTGGATTTGTTAGTCGCTCACTTTTGAAAACATTAATATTTTATCTGTTGGAGCTTTTATTATCTGTTTAGAAATAATTGCTTGAACTACCGGTGGAGGGTAGTTTTGATTGTTGTAGACAATGCATAATGATTAGGCAAACTAAAACTAATCAATTGGATATGTCATAAAGTATGACGGTTGATAAAATACATTAACGTTATGTATTGATTGATTGTGTATATGACCTATGTGTATATACGTTGTGTATATGGGAGGAGATAGAGGATGTACTCCACAGTTTAGGGGAAGATATGGGATGGACCTCTAAACCGGATGTTGTTTGGGAGGAGATAGGGGATAGACTCTGCTGATACAGCTCATATGCTTGTCAGTTAATGTGTTGATACAGCTTATACGCTTATCTATGGAAGTGTTGATACAACTCTTATGCTTATCTTTGGAAGTGTTGATACAGCTAATATGCATATCTGTTGGAATGTGGATACAGCTTGTATGCTTATCTGTTAAAATGTTGATACAACTAGTATGTTTATCTATTGCAAAATGGGAAATGTCTAATATGAGTCACTGTCTCATATAAGTGGTTGGCCAGGTTCTGAGCCGTTGATGTAAATTGTGAAATTGATAAGAAATGAAAACTGAAATGAAACATGAACATAACGGTCATGAAATGGAAATGGATTATGAATTAATTTATGGAACTTGAACATTTATCAA